AAAAAAATGATATACCATAAGGAAGAGCATTCATTTTTAAATTGAATCATCTACTTTTAATAATTTGAATGCCTCCCATCTATGTCTATGATAGCTTCATGACTAGTGATGTAAGGTGAGAAAAGACACAAATATGTGTCATCTTCCATGTCCTTCAGCACTTTGCTAATATTGCTTTGCAAGGTTTCCCTGGAGAGTTGACGTTGCTTACTTTCTGCAGCATGAGCCTGAACTTGCTCCTTCAGAATAGTCCAATGTTTTCAGCCACATTCATATCAAAGGAGCTTCCAGGTCATTCTATATTTCCAAAGATATTGTCTGATATTTTTTTAAACCCATGAAGGGAAAATGAATTTAACCCACAGTATCACAAGCTTCTGGAAATGTGTGTGTGATCAATGAGTCTTACTTATTTACTATCGGTTGATACCTGAAATGACAAGATGTGGATGGTTAAAATTGAAATTGAAAAACTATTCCATTTATATACCTGTTGCTTTACTTCCTGCCATGGTTTTGGTTGTGGAGAGATGGACTAATTATGCAAAGCAACCTCATTTCTTCTATCAATAGTGTCAGAACTAGTTTGATGATATTCAGACGACTCAATGCCCTTCGTTTGGTTTAGAATCTGACATGTCTGGGATGTATTTTTAATCCTTGGCTTCAAATCCCGATTAAAATGTTGCATCTTTGTATAGGAATAGTATGTTTTGATTGAGATAACATATGTAAGAAATATCATCCAAACTCTACGACATTTGTGATGGTAGCATGGATTACCACATTGCAATTACTTGGATTGTGAGGTAAATGTGACTTCAAATTTGCTCTGCCGCAACCAAATTGGCTGAGAAATGATGGAGCTCATCTCTATGGTTATTCTGGACAGCAAATGGAGCCCTCAGTTCTGATCCTGAATGAACTCTCCTATAGGGAACAGCTATTGTGAATTCATGAGAAAAGAACAGATGCAACAGAAAGGAAGCTCCTACAAGAAGTACCAAGTTCTCTGAAGCCCCTTTGGTAATGCAAGTTCATGGATTCTATTTGGGAAGGAATATTTTCAGAATTCACATAGACTTCAACTTTTTTTTCAAGAAGCTGCACTGAGCATTGGTTGACCACTAGTGATGAAGAATTCTGCATTGGATACCTATGCCAAGGTACATGTCCTTTTCCCCATTCTTCAAATCTTAGTATTGATCTTCAGTACTGGAGGTCTATATTGCAGTATGCAAGTTAACTTGGAATAGATTGCTTGAATTAGCTTACTACTTGATTTATATCATGACTATGTATTTATGCAGTGGAGTTGATCTGCACATGTCTGCATTTGATGAGCCTGCCAGACACTTGTCAAGAAGCCCAGTCCAATATCTGAATGGCGGTTTTGAAGAACCATGGAATGGCAGAATTGGCTCTGCTATTGCATTTCGTGTCTTGTTGGGGCATTGAAGAATCTGTATTTAAAATGCTTCTTCATCCTCATGCATGCCACCGTCAGTCTTCTTCAGGAGTCTGCATCAAGGTCAGATTTTGAAAGATCTTGCTATCTCATGGAGGTCTTAGGTCTCAGAACAGAAGAATTGCATGGAAAGGTAACAATGTCATGATGTACACATTTTCATGCATTTAAGAGCTGTGATATGTTAGGGTCTGCTTTGGAACTCCTCACCCTTTTGTTTAGAGAACCATCTGAGAACTTTGAAATCATATGTGACCTACACTAAAATTATTGCACTTTAAATCACAAAACCTCAAGGCCCTCCCTTTGTTTTAAGCTTGATATTTGTCATGTCATGCTTCTACATCTCCCATGCAACTCATTTCTGTTTGATGCTCAGATGTTATGATGTTGAAGCTTCAAATGATAACATATTCATTGTGGTACTTGGGGAGGGATGTGTTTCTTTTGTACCATCATGGAGAAAAATGTGAATATTTCATGAAATACAAGAAAGTGAGAGAAGGAGTTTATGCGGGATAGAAGGTATTGTTGCTCTTTAAGTGGAAACCAGAAAAATGTACTTGCTATTTGATTGTTTTTAGACAAATTAGACAAAAGTTGTTATGTTCTCACTCAACATCTTATATGAATGTGACAGCTAATGTTTATTCTAGTGTATTGCAAACTCAATATTGCTTCACTTGCCAAGTTTCTGTAGTTCAAGGTTTTTCTCACATCCACCCATGGATACTCTTCTTTCCAAAGGCTCTAAACCCAGGTTCAAAGTCTGGGGCTCTCTCAGCATTATTAACTTTCTATGTCCAGGATGGTGATTGGTATTTAACAGTTCTGTCACAATGACAGTTTTCAAAACATTGATGCATCAACCTGAACTATTGATAATGTATTGTTACATTGGACGAAAAAAAAAAAACCAAATGGAAGAAAAGAATGCCCTTTTTGCCCCTCAGGATTCATGAAGATGAATTTATTTACTCTCAGCTGCCATTATAACTGAAAGGAAGCTAAATTTGTTTACATTCTCAGGGAGCAAAGAGCCACTACAGCTTCGTAGCAATATTTCCCATTCAAGAGAAGAGATGTTCACTGGGCACAGACAGCAGGAATGACCAGGCATTTCCTAGCCATTCTTGTGATCTTTGGGAGCTTGCATTCTCTCTCCAGAATTCCAAGGGTTTGATTTCCCCATTCCTGCTTGTATATGCCTCGTACAAACCCACTTCGATTGCTTGCTTATTCCTGTTTGAAACATTCATATGGGTGAGCAATTTCATGAGTCCAGATTTCATCACTTTAGGTGTTGGAGAGGATCGTTGATGGGTTCTTCCCCCATACCGCAGGAAGGTTCCAAATGAAATGTGTGATGGGGAGATTCACTGACAGGTGCTTGGACTGATGGGATATTCTTGTGGTCCATCATTGAGTTTGCAAGAAGTCACATTTTGTGTGATGACCAGAGACTCTAGGAAATGAAATCTAGAATTGGGACTATTTCCATTCATGAGAATAAGCATTAGCTAGGCAAAATTTATTCACAAATGAAGCAAGGATCCAAGAAACGAGAAAAACTTCTACATTTCCCTTTCTTCTGTGTGATTGCACTTGCCAGTAAGATTTTTCAAGGCCAGCCACTTGAAATCATGAACAACTGGTGTGTTGTCCTCTTTCCTCTTCAGGTACACTTCCTGGGTACCAAATTTTTAGTTTGATTAGATTGCAGCTAAGTTTTCTTCTTTCAATGGTGGATGCTTACCTTTATTTCACAGATCATTGGAAGCATGAAAGAAACTGACAGGAAAGTTTCTGCTGTCAGTGCCAGGAGGAACTAAACAATAGGAGCTAATGCCTGTATTTGTGGAAAGGAAGGGGAAACAGAAATACAGGGTGATTCATAAGTCACTTGAATTTTTTTTTGGTATTGTATATGGTACAATTGATTTGTCAGTTTCTCCTGAGCATTATGATGTAGCATGAGTGTGGGGCAAACAATACTTCAGAATAAACAACCAGAAAAGAGGTGTGACAAGCCTAACTTTTTGTGACTAGTACAATGAATTCAGAACGATGGAAAGAGAACAACAGAGAGGCATTTTGAGAGAGAGAGAAGTAATATGATTACTCATGTTTGACACAACCACCATATGGTGTGTGATGGGAAGAGTTTGAAAAAGTTACATTTGCTCAGGTTACAGTTGGTTAGATTGGGTTAGATCCCCAAACATCAATTGCACTTCCTGTTGCCTCAAACTCGTGCATAAGATTACAAAGCAGATGCACTGTGGACAGTCCTGCTGGCTTCTTGATTTTTTTTCATGATGTAAATAGATGTGTGTAAATCAGCAGACATTATTCCCGAATTTATAGTAACATCTGACATGAGCATTGCATTTTTTCACTCTCAGTGCCATGGTCTAAAGGAATGCCACAATGAACCTAATGTCTGCACTTTTCATGACGGTGGCAAATGGCTCATGTGACCTCCCCCAATTTGGCTAGGCAGTGTTGCCCCTAATACACTTCATAAACTGGCTTACAAAGCCATTAATACCATATGCTGCATCAAAAGCAACTTAATGTGACTTTTCAACTAGCTTCATGGTGTTGTGAACATGAAAAACGTCCCTCTCATGGGCTGACACAAATCCTCATAATATGATCCAAGCACTATTGCACAATGCCAAAGTTACTGGTGTGGTTTCACAACAGACTTCATGACTGATCCCTACTTCTTTGAGGAACCTGATCCATATGGATTTCACACTGTGATCATCAATAACCCATGCTTCTTACACATTTTGAACTTTTGCAATTCTCGAACTTCGAACCAAAAAGTGTATGTATCTGATCATCATCCATCAAGATGGCACTCCTCCCAAAACCTATTGTGAAGCGAAACCTCTCCTTTGCGACACTTCAGGGAAAACAACTTAAGCTGATATTTTGTAACTTCATGGCTTCCATGATCTGCAGATTTCAATCCTACAGACTACTGGTTGTGGGTGCTTCTGAAATCACTTGTACACCATCATTCAGCCACTTCATGGAACTGAGCATCTTGTGAACCGCAAAGTTCTGCACATCCATCATGACAAAGTTTGCATTGTCATGTCAAACTTTCCATTGCGAATGGCTTCCCTTGCTGAAGCAGGTGGTGGTCACTTCAAACTTGTATTATCATAACACCTTCCTCTCTCTGTCTCATAATACCTCTCTATCACTCTTTCCATCATTCTGAATCCACTGTAATAGCAAGAAAAGTTATTCTAGTCACACCTCTTTTGATGTCATTTCTTCTGAAGTATCTTTTGTCCCACACTCATGTTACACCAAATTGCTCAAGAGAAGCTGATGAATTGATTGACACCATATACAACACAAAAAAAATTCAAGTGACTTTTGAATCACCCTGTACATGAACTGCAGTTGGGAGGTCTCTTCTCAATGACTTACAGTGTCTTGTGTCTTGATACCAGTCTTCTGGGTTGAGAGCTTGATCACATACTTCCTTCTTCTTGTGTGTGGATAGGATTTAATCAATTACATGACAGAGCTCCAGCATGTTGTAGGTCGATGTCCATCTTGTGGGCACATCTTGTATCAATTCATGAGAAGGGGACTTCTTTTCTTCCAGGACCATGCGAAGCACAGGCATGACAGTGGCACTATGTTTGAAGTGCCCAGAGAGTTTCCTGTATTTCATTGGAAGATGGGACACCCTTGCAACATGTTGGTCAGTTCCATCTCTCAAAGCCAAATTAATGTTGTGCCCAAAGCAAGAGAGGTTAGGTAGTCCCAACTGACTTAGAGCATTCACTATATTCTTAGCATTGTTCATGTCTCAGCTCATCACTTTCATGTTCACATTCCAACTTTCAAGCTGTTTCCAGAATTTGGCTTCTGTTGTATTGGCAGAATGACTCTTTCCTTCTAGCATTGGAAAAGTCCCTAATACAGCATGATTGAGCTCCCAATCTAAGGAAATGAAGTGAGCCATGAGGGAATGATAAGAATCATTGGCAAATGTCATCCATAGATCCATTGTGATAGTGAGGCTGGGTATTAGAGAGAGTTCTGTTAGGAAGTTCTCTGCCTTTCTTCAAATAATTTGCCACTTTGAGACGTGAGATGTGCCCGGCTGCAAATATCATACTGAAGGAACCTCTTTCCCATGAACTTCTTGAATCCAGATTTCTGCACTGGGTATAAAGGCAGATCATCCTCTGCGATCCAGCATACGATGTCTTGGTCCATAGTCCAGGATTTGGCACTAGTTCGATTCCACTTCCTTTTCTGCTGGATGAAATCTGAGTCATTTTTGCCCTCTGACCTTGGCTCCCCCTTCTCCATGCAACAATATGGTGGAATAATTATGATCAAAATTATTATTGAGATTTGTTGCAATCCCCAAATATGAGATTTCCATCCTACAATGTACACACACCACTCTATGTTTAATGTCCTGAGCTATGTTTAATGTTTAATGTCTGGTCATTCATTGAGTATAAACAAAAGTGCTTCCATACAGGGCTCCTGATCCTTGATTTTTTTACCAAAATCTTCTCAGTCTTATGGCCTGACCTCAAAACCAAAATAGCATTTGCTATCCTCTCAAGTAACATTCAGAGAGATTAAAGAGGATGATTCAAGAAATAAGTCCATGTATTGGGTCGATCGGAAAGTTCTGGCCGTTTCGAGAATTTTCCAGAAAAAAAAATTTCTGGAACTTTCTCGAACCTTCCACAGTAGCAGTATGTAAAGGGTGTGTGGGCATGATTACGCAGCAGTTGCTTAGTCGTTCAAAGCCTATAACCATGACTTCCAAAATCGACTTTAACAAGACCGCCCAACGTTAGTGCCTTCTTTACGACTTCCTATCTGGCATCGCAGCAGCTGAATCGAGTTGCCGCGTTTGGCCAAGGTGCAGTTTACGAAAAGACAGTGCGACGATGGTTCGATCGTTTCCGGTCTGGAAATTACAGCCTCGACGATGAGCCCAGGTCAGGCCGCCCATCTGAAATCGACGACGAGCAGTTGCAGCACACAGTGGAAGCCGATCCGAGGCAAATTACCCGCGACTTAGCGACAGCACTTGGCTGCGTCCAGTCCACGATCGTGACGCACCTGGCTGCAATCGGCAAGAAGAGCAGTGGGTACCCCACGATCTGACCGACCGCGACCGCGAACGCCGTGCTGAGGTGTGCACTTCGCTGCTGTCGTACGAGAGCACAAACGATGAGGTGAGGCCAGGGCACCGTCATGTTCGATTCCTGCACAACAACGCAAGGCCGCATGTCACGAAGATCACACGGCAGAAATTGCTGGATCTGGGCTGGGAGGTTCTGCCTCACCCTCCGTATAGCCCAGATCTGGCGCCAACCGACTACCATCTCTTCCGCGCTCTGGACGACCATCTTCGCCAGAAAAGGTTCAACGATGACGCCGAGGTCGAAAACTGGCTGATTGATTTTTTCGACTCACAGTCAGCTCAGTTCTACAGGGATAGAATCAGGAGTCTGCCTGATCGTTGGCAGAAGGTGATTGACTGTGATGGCGATTACTTCGTTGAATAAACTTTTTTGCTTTTTTAAAAAACTCGGTTGTATGGAATGTTCTCAAAACGGCCAGAACTTTCCGATCGACCCAATAATTCCCCCACCACTTAGAAACACACTCTGGGTCTCCAATAAAAGTATCAAATCTCCAATTGTCTTCCTTGGGACTTTCAACTCGCTGCCAGGCCGTTTCAACGCCAGAGCACCTCTATGAACACAACCCCAATCCTTTCCCTCTATCAGAATAAAAGAACAAGAGACTTTCTTTTATTTCTAAAAAAAAAAAAATACGGAGTATTTTTATATATTACGGACTACTATATCGACGCTATCTGGACCCGACTTTGAAAGAGAAAATGTTAACGAACTCCCACCTTCTCTACCGTCCCATGACGATCTCAATACATGCTGTCGTATTTTCGCATCATCCTTTCGCTGATTCTAAGGAATATTCCCTGCTAAAGGAATCGCTTGGCAAACAGGTGACCAAGAGGGGGTAGAGATAAGGAACGAGGCCTTGTTTCTTCTCTCTTAACGTTACCATGCGGAGAGGGGCACCAGACTGGTTTTTCAGAACTGCACCCGTCTGCTCCTTCAAGGTTCATCCCGCACTATTTTTTCTTTCGATCTTGTTCCCGACCCGATCTCACCATACCTGTCCTGGGTCCTGCATTCTAAAAATCTCCATCCGGGTCCTTCAGTATTCCCGTGAGTGGGCAGGTTCCGGAGCAAAACTTCGAAATATGTACAATTTAAAATAGGTAAATTTACTGATGTAAACAACCACTCGACATACCGTCTTTTCAGAAAATTCGCGAATTTACAGGTCGACTCCCTTGAACGCGCGTGCGCAGTCGAAATGCAGCCAACGATAGATTTACAGTAACACGATTTCAAGAGTTAGTCCTAAATTTCTGCATTACAGTCCCGGGGCGCCAGAATCAGTCCCTGATCTCGGCGGATTCCTGCATCTTGAAACCATATTTATCCTAGTCCAAAGGGATTCTCTGGTGCAGAACAAGGACCCGAGGTAAAAATCTCACAAAATGTCATATCCCTTCTAGTATCATCTTCCACGCATCAGTTTTACATTATTTTCAGATATGATCTGATATTGGTATTCGTCGATAATCGACAGCCATTAAAGTATCGTTGCATCTTTATTAAAAACTCAATGAATGCAATCATCATTCCTTCCGTTGCTTGCCAAGAGCAGCCTTTTTTCCCAGTGACATGATACTTGAAGCAAGAGGATTCTGAAAAGTTGCTCACCTTTGTAGAATCGCACGATGGAGAAGCGACAGAGGTGTCCTCTGGGAATATCTTCTTTGTACTGTCAGTTGCTACCGTCTTCACCGTCTCGCAAATGGAATCACTTTGATCACCGAACAACTTCGCACAGCCGCTAGATCCAATGCCACCGTCCACGAGAACCGAATTCACGGCGGCCACCATGTCGGATTCATCGAAAGCCGGATTGAGCACGCCCAGCTCCTCGTACTTGACGGGGTGGAGGTCGTCCACCCTCAAGGAGTCGTCCCCCCGATCCATGATGCCCTGCGGATGGAGCACCACGACCAAGTCTTCCTCGGGGTCCTGAGCCTCGTACAGGGTTCGGGATCCCCCGCTCTCTCGACTGAGGGTCGGGGAACACGGACGGGGGAAGGACGGAGATTCGAGGCCGAATCCGGAGGGACATCGGGGCTCTTCACCTTCGAGCAGCGAGACGTCGTCCGGGTTCGGCTGTGCGGGATCGGGGTTTCCTTCGCGATAGAGGACACGGACGGTTCGGCCCGGGCCGAGATTCAAATATTGGCACCCCGGTGCGTCGAGGGTGGTCACGAGGGGGGAGACACGGTGCTGCGTACCTCCCAGGCAGGGCAATCTCCCTAATCCCTCCCTTTCATACGGATGAGAAGAGTTTTAAAGCATTGCTAATTGATTAGTGGACCCTCCAGTGCACCATCAATAAGAGAGGAATGAATAGACGCGAGAAGGAAGGAGAGAAAAATGTGAAACCATATATAGAGCAGTGCGAAAGACTACCCCACTCTTCACACAATCTTTTAACCCATTGAGCGGTGAGTTTTTTTCTGACTGGCCATGCTCACAGGGATGAGTTTTTTTTTGCGGATGGACTCCAGCTCATAATTTTTTTCCTCTATGAACATAAACAGTTTTTACCTCGAAAGTATGTCGAAATAACTTTATTTCAACATTAGTAATCTTGGGTAATCAGTAGTGATTTAGGGTGTGTTATATCATTAAAAACAATAATGAAATGTTTGAAATTTAACGTGATAATTAATTTATATTTTTGAAAATTGTTTCACTACTTAGACATGAGGAATAGATAGAAAAGCAAAAAGTAAACGGAAATAGCTTTTCAGCAACCAGATTCTTTCCTCCAATGTGTGAAGCGGCATCTTATTACATCTTCAAATGAAAGTAAATTACCTTATTAAATTAAATTCCTAAAATTTAAGTTTTATTCTATACATTGAATTCCACATGTATCATTATTTTCACTTCTCTACAGTAGGAAATTTCTGCAACCATCAGAATGTCTATGCAGATGAAACTGTCCTCCCCCTGCCCCCGCTAAGAAATAACACGAAATCGAAGAAAAGTTCCGAGATGGAATTGATAAAATATAAAAGAGGTGAAATACAGAAGAAGTAATTGATTTAATCCCTTTTCCTTCTCATATCCTGTGAGGGAGTTTGTCATGTAATGCCTCTTGGTACAAAACGCTTCTTGTCCATCAACACCTTACACGTGAGACGTTTTGTCATCAGTTTATTGCCAGTTCCAGGGCTTTCCAGATTTGTCATTGAAAATCGAGAGCACACCTCCCTCCGCTTAATTTTCGAAACGGAATGGGCATCTGTTAGTGAAAGAGTCACACTTAAAAACCCTCTCTCACGAATCGCCCCAAAGTTAGTATTTAATTTCTTCCGTTGCTTTCTGTACTAGCTAGAAGATGGCAGTACTGAATAAGGCGATACATATTCAGGAACTTCCAAATTTAAGCTCAAACTGACGGCACCTGTAGAAATGTGGCAATATGAATTCGAAGATGCAGAACGTACCGGTACGGTCACACTCCTGTAGGACCGGGAGCGCACGGCCGTACCGGTACAGCCATACCACTCAATGGGTTAAATGGGTCATGTTGCCATGCCCAAGATACATACGAGGAGTGTTCGAAAAGTTACGCCTGTTTGGGTATAACTTGTTTAATTCACATCTAATAAAAATAAAATTTGACACGTTGATAGAGGTGACACAGAGGAACAACTTTCTACTTTCCTATTTAATCTCCATTTGAAGCTACACATTTGCGCCACCTCTCAACCCAATGTTTAAATCATTATTATTATTATTATAAAAATCCACATCTGTTTTCTTCAACCGCTCCTTAACAGTACCCTTAACTTCATCATCACTATCAAATCGTCTCTCATGCTGACCGTCTTCACTGGCCCAAAGAAGTGAAAGTCACTTGGGGCGTGGAAGACGGTTTGATAATACAGATGAAATTACGGCTGCAATAGTGTGGTTGAAGATGTGGAATTTTACAAAAGAGGATTTGAACGTTGAGTTGAGAGGTGGCGCAAATGTGTATCTGCAAATGGAGATTAAATAGTAAAGTAGAAAATTGTTCCTATATGTCACCTCTACCAATGTGTCAAATTTTATTATTTTTTAAGATTTGAAATAAACAAGTTATACCCAAACAGGTATACTTTTCAAACACCCCTCGTACTTCTGTCCCAAGAAGATCTTTACAACTGCCAAGTGATTGACCTCACCTGATACGTGCGATGACAGGGAGGACATAACGGGAACCGGGGCACTGAAGACATTTCATTCTCTCCCTCGGCATGGGGAGAACGCATACTTGGCGGCCCAGCCAATATCACAGCGAGGTTATCAAATCAGTAAACCACCATCACATAAAACTTGTCGAAAAGTATCACAGCAGCTTCTTCATGCATCTAAACTATTTGATAAATTCTGGAGGTGAAAAAATAAAATCATTGTCATAAGTTCAAGTCATATATTGTCATGAAAATACAAAATCAATACTCCAGGAAAATAATTATTTCACAAAAAAATACGAATGGGTTAACCTGGACAGTCGAAAGAAAAACAGTCTTAGACTACAATACTTATTATACTTGTGCAGGTTTTTCACCTGTTTTAGTGTAGTTTTAGTGTAGTGTAGTTCTTTCTTCTGGCATGCGCACACCACGTCAAATACTGTCAATCAATTTTGTTCAATTCCATAAATTTATGCCACAGAAAAAAGCCTTGCAGATTGTCATTGTGATTAGAAGAGAGATTGTGTAAGATCCAATATCAGCTTCCACACTTGAAAAATTATATTCAGACATACACTCTCTGTGATACTTATTGAGGCATAAAAATTTGTATGTTATGAGAGACTCATGACTTGAATAACCTAAATCCTACACAATAAGCAATAAATTGAAAGATTTGCATCAAAGACAACTGCGCATTATGAATAAATGAAAGACTAATGAATTTATTTGAGTAAGGCATACAAATTCAGTAATTCCTAAGTGGGGAAATAAACTAAGTATTCTGTTTCATCCCACTAGCTTATTTTGACTATTTTTCTCCCATGTGGCCAGATATGACATTATCTGTCTTCCATACAAAGGAAGCCTGGGAGAAACTTTCACTCACTCAGACATATTTGCCTGTTCAGAAAGAGATAAGAAAAAACAAGAAAGAGCTGAGTAAGCAGCAACTGCATTTCGATATAATTGACTGTTGACAGCACTTCCAAGACAACAGGACTAACAGGGAATAAGGGAGGGATAAGACTTGAGATCTAAGCAACATCTAGACAATATGCGATGAAGGTATGGCCCCTCAGACCTACACCCTCAAATTTATTTATTTATTTTATAAACAACTTTTTTAAAATGACCATTTGAGTGCAACAGGGAAAACTCTATAACATTCCTAGAGAAGGGCGAAGACACTCTCCATCAATACACAACACTGACCTCAAAAACTCTCACGGTGATACTGCATTGCATATTTCAGGATCCAGAGATCCATACTCATAATTCTAAGGGCATCTGCACAGATTAAAACATAAAGATGCCAAACGTTGAAGAAGACATTGAGATCAACAGACTCTGCTTCACAAACCAATCGATGACATAGCACCATTGATGGAAAGAAATAAATGGAACATTCCAAGAGAGCCCCTGCTCTCTTAACTTCACCTCACATATCACAATATTGATAAATGAATGAATGAAGGAATGAGTGAATGACTCTATCTAAAAGTATTGCTTGGACTCGCCAAATACAAGATTCTTCTATGTATCTCTCTTTTTCTAAAAATAGAGGAAACTCAAATTGACGAACAGGAGTGCATACTGCTGAAAACATCACAATGAGTCTTGGGGAATGCCTTGTTTAGGCTTACACTGACTAGCCTGTTGGAAACAAAAAAGGAATGATGCTCAAAAGGAGGTATGGAACCATGTCCTACAAGACATTGAAGGGGAGCTGCCTGAGTTTCATGGACCCATCAGCTCCACAGGAGAAGAGACGAGCATTGCCATCGACATGAAGTTGTGTGACGCCTTGACCTGTTGTCTTGAAGAAAGAGCTCTTGGCATGTTCACCTGGGAAGCTGTACATACAGTTGTGAACACCCAGGCTCCATACCTATAACAGATGCCAAAGCTTTCTGGCTGCACTTCACAACAATCTATGTAATTGAGAGAATGGGTGAGTTTTGCAAGCCCTCCCTTAGTACACAATTGAATGCTTATAGAAAAGTAATTACTACAGAATGAAAGCCAATTGATGTGCTTCCATAGATTTTTAAAGGGGAAGAAAAGATTCCTGTTTAGTCAGCAACTCTAGGCTTTTGTTTCACCATTATGAAGGCCTTGCACAACAGAGGCAGCAATGTGTGAAAGCTCAAGGGGCTTGAGCTGCTAGAAAGCTTTTCCAGAGTAAGGATGCTGAGTCCCCTTAAAATTCCAGGCAATTTTTTTTTTTCTATTTCTTTTTGCAGGAACATTGGCACCACCTGGCAAGGGGCAGCCACACCTTGGCAGTCCTTAAAGCAGCAGTACTCAAAGTGCAGCCCACTATGATCTACTAATAGTTCACTTTTCATAATTAACCCTTTAACCAGCGCTTATATGAATAATTATAAGCAATTCCTTTAATCACAGATTTGGAACCTATACCTCAAACAAACAAATTTTACCATTTTTAGATATGCTGATACTTACAATAATTATATTTACTGGTTCTTACAATTAAACTTTTTTACATATAGATTTTAAGGTATTTTAATGTGCACCTGCTATACTCATGTAATGTTTGGAGAATTCATATTCTGTGGAGAAAAACATAACTTTGCAAAAAAAACAATGAAAGGTGAAAGAAAAAGAGAGTGCTATCGAAAATGCAACCAGTAACAAAGCAACACCTAAAACAGGTGTGCTTACATAAGCCCTGACTCCAGGTAGTGGTACCATTGTTTTGGTGACTACATAAGGTATGTAGATGTGACAAGTACAGGAAGTTTTCAATGGCTGTTCATCTTATAATGAGATACCCTGGCTAAAAGATGCTTAGCCATGAGGTCAAACAAATGGTAAATGTAACTTTGCTGAAATGTATATACATTTTTTCAATGTGGCCTTCTGCTGGTTGATCAAAGTATCTGTGCAGTTCATCCAAGATGAACCAAAGTATCCATGTGGCCCTCATCTCAAAAGTTTTGGGGACCACTGCCTTAAAGTGTTGAGTAACCTCTCAGAATATTTTTTCCATCCCAGAGAAATTTCCGCTGAGATGAAGCTCAATGATGGCTGCACGTTGTGCATTCATTTTGGCACAATAAATGATAGGAACTGATGAGACCATTGCTTCATCTGCAACTTTAAGCGACATGTCCATACAAGTCACACACCCATAGGCTTGTAAAAGATTCTACCCGGGAGACATTCTATGTGAGTCCAAAGTTTGTAACAGAAGTTCTTACGCACCCTGTATACCTCAAACAAACAAATTTTACCATTTTTAGATATGCTGATACTTACAATGATTATATTTACTGGTTCTTACAATTAAACTTCTTTACATATAGATTTTAAGGTATTTTAATGTGCACCTGCTATACTCATGTAATGTTTGGAGAATTCATATTCTGTGGAGAAAAACATATAACTTTGCAAAAAAAACAATGAAAGGTGAAAGAAAAAGAGAGTGCTATCAAAAATGCAACCAGTAACAAAGCAACACCTAAAACAGGTGTGCTTACATAAGCCCTGACTCCAGGTAGTGGTACCATTGTTTTGGTGACTACATAAGGTATGTAGATGTGACGAGTACAGGAAGTTTTCGATGGCTGTTCATCTTATAATGAGATACCCTGGCTAAAAGATGCTTAGCCATGAAGTCAAACAAATGGTAAATGTAACTTTGCTGAAATGTATATACATTTTTTCAATGTGGCCTTCTGCTGGTTGACGTTTCATAGACACGTCAAGTAGGTTCTACTTGGTTTCATAGGTACACCGGGAGTAGAGTTTTCAAAACCCCTGGTGACGGAATTTCACAACTCATTGGAGAGTCTTATAAAAAAGGTAGGGTCTCTTCCTTTGAAGAGCATGTCAGCATGCACTCCTCACTTAGTATCCCTTCTCCCCACCACTGATCTTCACAGTTGCTTTGGATCAGTCTGAGTCTCTTCCCAAATTTTTCAATATCTTGCTACACTTGCAAGCCATAGATAAAACACTCATAACCAATATTATTATGCATTATGATGGCCACAATTATTATGCAATTGTTGATTGCATATTAAACCACCCATATATGAAACTGAATGCAAAATTTAGTATTTAATTACAAAAAATTCAGACAGCCTCTAATTTTTTGCAGTTATTTCATTAGTCATAATTAATTTTATGATTATCAATACATTTTGCATTAATAATGAATCAATTTTATAATTAATAGATGTTATATGCACTTCTTACCTTGATATCTCCATCAGCAGATCCAGTGACAAAGAACTCCTCATTGGGATCAAGAGCGAGACACTTGATGTGAGAGTGATGGGTGGCTTGAAATGTGTGACGAAGCTGACGTTGTCGCACATCCCAGATGCAAACTACCCCCTTTTTTCCTCCTGTGATGAGGATCTGGTGCATGGGAGCATACAGAATCCCAGTTGCTCCTTGTTCATGACATATGAATGCTGGAACATTTACAAAGAAATTCAGTTTGTGCATCAGTCAAGAAGTCACACATATAGCACCCACCAATGCAATAATACTATAATACTAATAACACTATAATAATCTGCCAACATACAATAATACAATCAGCTGGGAATTTGATGAGCAATTTGAGTTCAAAATTTGGAATTGGGGGTGTTGAGGCATTCTGTCCATATTAAAGTTAAGTGCTCATCCTAGCCCTTCCCCATCTAAGACAGGCATATGTTTAAGATAAATGTTTTTAGTGGCAGCATGTAGATCCACAGCCCAGATATTTGCAACTACATCACTCTAATATATCTGCTTCACGCAAGAAAGCATTAAACCTGTTTTCAAAGCTATCCAATGGAGGGGCAGGGATAACATCTCCACCTAACACAGTGGTTCCCAGATTTCTTTGAAACCCACTTGCTGATGTTAAAAAAATTTTGCAACCCATCAGAATACAGAATGGAATCCAGAATCGACCTTTTCTGCAGGGCATGTATTATCCTGAGTAGATGCAGATATAGTGATCTATTACACAGGGAAAATGTTCGTAATCCACCTTGATGCCTCCCGTGACCCACCAGTGGGTTGCGACCCACAGTTTTGGAACCACTGACCTAACATGTTCCACACAATTTGGAAAGTCACATAACTTCAACTGGTTCCTTTTTATTCTGGTGTTATCAAGAAGAGCTAACCACACTCCATAGCATCAAAGTCCTTAACCAGTGTGACAACTTAAGTTTAAGTTCAAAAGTTTGCTTCTGCAGAGGATGATTTTCTTCTCAGACATGACAGGTTTGCACCAGTTGCAAGCATTGTGACTTTGTAAAACCATACTAACTCATGCCAACTATGCTTATGAGAAAAAATAGACATGCCACTTCATATAAAGTTAGGCCAAAGCAGTCCAATCCTGATGCATAATCACTATGATGAATTAGCTATTCAGAACCACTTTGACTGGTTTATGATCTTCAATACCTCTATGAGTTCATTATTATTATCATTAACATTCTATTTAGAAAATATAGTTACAATGCATCTAAAAATAACTTGTATTAAAGTCCATGCAAAATCCATATAACTGCAGTATTCCTCTTCTGTACCATCTCCAATATCATTAAATTACCTTTACTAGTAGGCTACCAAATGGAGACACAATACCTAAATGGGGTCTTCTGAGTGACACATTGAATGTATAAAAATTTAATGGTAAGATATAAAATCAAATTATCAGGAAAAACATTAGCTTCCTTTCCTGTATTTTCAACATATCAACTTCCTAAGAGTTCTTTGTCTCTGTAACATAACTTTCAGGTCATCCACTTCAAAGGATTTCTACATGTACATTATAGAGCAACCTGTGTAAAACAGCTCAACAGAAAAAATTGTTGGTGTCCATGGAAACCCACTAGATAAAAGATAAAGATGTAAAGTGGTGCTAGCACACATCCCATTAAGGGCTCTCCCCAAGCCCCTGTATCAGTACTGCCCCATTTGTTGGTTGCTTCATATACACTTTATGAGTTGACCCAATATGGCTCACTAGAGGCAGAGGCAGGTCTGAAAGTGAATAAAATTGTTAGCAGGTACTTGTACAGCCACATGCCACAGAAACAGGCAAGTAAATCATCTCTTTCAAAAGTTAAACTTGGAAGATCTGGATATATGGTTGTTATCCAGCATGGCTAATCACCATGCCCCTTTTTATCTGAAGGAAGGAGGCAAGGGGGGAGGAAGCAACAGCAAAAAGAAAGTGGAAAACAGCTGGAAGAGTGTCTTGCTAGCAGAAAAAACAGCATGCACCTAGCACACCTCTCTCATTCCCTGTAGATTCTTTGTACTGATCTTATATGAGCTCATTTCTGCTTAACCCTTTCAGACCTGAATTATGGCCGCTATTGGAATTATATCTTTTTTTTGCATTTTTGAGCTCTTTCGTTATTGTTATTGAAATTTTCGTACTGTATATATGTAGTTTTCATATTTTGTATAAATTTACCATATAATAACATATATTATATATTAAACATTTAATTAAATAACTGAAGATCAAAATCCTAATGGGTAATTAAGGCCTCTGATGGAACTGAGCCTTGCATAATTGCACCCATTGTAGCATAATATGGAGCGCAAAGTCATGAGAATCCTTAGAAGTTGCCATAGACACAATGTAAATGCAATGTCCATTGGAATGGATGCCAGGTCTGAAAGGATTAAGATGATGATGTTAGATCTGGCTCAAATGGAAGACTCAGGTCCAACTGTAGATACTAAACTGTCATTCACATAAGGCAGAAAAATCCCTGGAGTCTCTCTGTAATGCCACAAGGAGAGACTAACTACAGAGTAAGAGGAGCCTAGGAGGAGTTCTGGAGCACTCCCAGAGCTCTTAGTTGCAAGAGTCTCTCTTGCTCTCCAAGAGCTTCCTCCACCTGAGCGTTCAGCCAGTCACAAGTGGAATTGTCATATTCAATCACAGCAGCTGGTAACTCTTCAACTGTTGAAATTTTTACTAATGGTTTCAGCCCCTGAGCTGTTTTGTTTATTTTTCTGTAAGCAGAATGAAGTAGCATGAAACTCTCAATAGATGGCAGAGGATTTCATCTCAAGTCTCTTGCTGATTGCATCTATATGATGGTAGCAGTAATTAGTAGGAAATTTAAATGGATATACTGTACATGGCAACAGCATTGAGGACATTTTTTGCTGATACATTACTGTGACAGTAACAATTAAAGGTTTAAGGAGGATGTGACTGTGTGGTTTCTGGATTGCATGAAGATTAATACACAGCCAGTCTCCCCGACACTTTTACTACACCTGTATGACCCACAGCTTCCTGATCCTGCAGATGACACTCCTACAAATTCTTTCTCATGTGTGGATGTAGCAAAAGTCCAATACAAAAAGTAGCAATAACTTCAAGGAACATGAGAGAAAACTCCAAATAAACAGACAAACAAAACTCCAACATTTCTTCAACATTACTTAAAGCCTTTGTCTTTCTTTTTCTTGTTTCAACAGTTTGGAATAGGGCAGTCAACACTGGTTTAAGGATCAGCTTCCAATGGGGTAATAAGAGAAATGCATGCAAAAATTAAAGCATTTTCTTCACATCAACATACAACATGCCCACTGGGAAGTTCATACCTTGCACAAGGGCTTTCTTCTGAGGCAGGAGTGTGTCCCATATGGCAACATTACGACTTTCTGAGCTGTGCCCAGCAGTTGCAATGAGACTACTTGAACCAACAAACACAAAGTCGCTCGTCTGTTTGCTATGGCACTGCATTGTCTGCAGAATAATCAAAATTACTATGAAGGCAATCCCAGACCTATTTTTCACTGTAGGCATTTTAGATAAGTTGAAAGGCTCACATAAAAGGGTCTGGAGGCAAGGGATGAAAAGCCAACCTGCCAGAGGGACATTTGGCCATCTGCATCTGAAACTCCAAACTTGGAGCCATGGGAAGAGAAGTGTACTCGGGTGACCTTGGCATATGTTCCTGGGAGCCGAGGTTGGGCCAATGGACCTGGCGATGCACTTTGGCCCCATTCCCACAGACTCACAGATCCATCTTGGGAACCACTTAGGTCTTTGTGAAGAAGATAATAGAATCTTTCAGTTGATGAAATTATGATGAACTCCTACCTTTTCAAAATTTCAGAAACTTACAAAGTGGGAGCAAAGGATGAGAGCTCAGCCGCTTCACACTGTCAAACTTGTGATGCACTAACTGTAAGGAGGAAAGAGAGTTTGCAATCAGTGAGACTAGCAAATTCAGCTGTTGAACAAAAACAGGAACATGAGAAGAAGTAAAAAAACAAGTAACAAGTAACAAATGAAGGCTATCTACCAGGGAGGAGAGGTAGAAGTCAAAATACATGAATATTACTTGATATACATGCATGGCAGTCTACCATGAATCAAAACTCACAGGTTTCAAGAGTGCCTTGCTGCGAGTGAGCACAAATTTAACATAAGCTGGGTTGTTGCAACCAGGGAAATGAATTCCCTTCAGCTATCCTCGCATGCAAGCACAGGAAGAAACAGGAAGAGACACACATATGCATGATCCTTTGGACTTTATTTTTTTTTTAATAAAAAAAATTTCTTGAGAGTAATCTGCTTGAATATTTTCATTCATCAGCTACTCATTTTAACTAGATCATTTCTGGTGACTGGTTGAGGCAACAACTTCTGCATTACATATGCTCCATCCATTCCCTGAGCATAAATGCAGTGCAGTATGGAATGAAATCTCAGAACTTTAGCAAAATAAATTCACACTCAAAACCCTAAAAGAAGACCATAGAGAACATTGGTGTTCAATAGGATTTTGATGCTCGCCAAACTTGTGGCGATCAGGTCACCATATTCGCCACATGATACAAAACAAATGCAATATTAATAAAAAAGAATGCACCTGAAGAAAAAATATAACTGATGAAGAGCATAAATTTGTCACACATCTGTGGCTGATTCACCACATGTGGCGAGTGGCAAACTTATTGGACACCGTGGCCCTAGAACATGGGTCACCAACCTAATAATGACAGAGGATGTGGCTCACAGACATTTATTTTAGACATTTTTAAGGGCTACAAATTTCTCACAAGTAACAAATTTATTCACACTAACATTGACATCACATCCTGCCATGAGTCAAGCTCAAGCAACACATGATGTCCATACAACGTTACTGCAACATGACTTGAGCTAAATGGCATCGCAGTAACATTGCATAGATGTCATTTAGACATATATGTTGCTTGGGAGGTCACAATGCACATGGCACCAGGGATGAAATATGAAACTGCAAGTCTCAGGCATCACTCAAAGTGGAAATCTGTAAACTCGATTCACAACCTGCACCAACAGCAAAGAGCTTCTAACCATGTCAGGGCTTAGGGCTTACATTATGAGGGGAGGTATGAATAGCAACCCATATCAAGCAGGTGAAGACAGCAATCTTTATTAATGATTTTTATTTTTGTCTCCCATCTTAGTTCTGCTAAAAGCCACAGAGCCAACTGAAGCAAGGATTCCATGCCATAGAATATTTGTCACACTCTTATTCTTGCTCTTGAATTAGAATTCCTTTTACTTACTGCATCAGTGTCTGATGTCACTTTTCAAAGCATACTTGAGAACAAACATGTGGATGTGGTGTCTGATAATGTGTCTTCATGGTAATGTTATTTCCATGAAGGCTTCAATGCAAAAACTTTGCCAATAATTCAACTTCATTTTAACAAAGAATGAGGGAGTAATGCAGACCAAAGTGGTGCCCCGTCCAGTCTGTCCAATGACATTAGAGGAGGTAGAGGTTCCTGATGATCCCTGGCCACCTACAGAGGCCAGGTGGGCAGTTGGGCGATCCGTCACAACCAAAAACCCTGAAGAAGGAGCCAATTCTGGATCCCTGTTTTACATTCCCCAAGAGTATTGTCATTCCCCACATTTGGATGATGTTCAGAAATATGGAAAAGGCTAATAACCTGTTGAGATTGAGGATGTCAAATTCGCACTCATCCTCAAGCCAGGCTGGAGCCTCAAGTAGAAGGGAGATGTCCAGTTCTTGGATCTCCTTCATGGTTGCTATCGCCATAAGGCCTGAACTCACCTACAAGAAATCCAAATTCAATTCTCAGCAAATAAGTCAGACATACAATTGTATGTTGTACATTACATAGATATAAAAAATTAGAAACAGAAACATAAAGAAGACAGCAGGTAATGGCATGCTGCTGATTAAGCAATCTACAGCGTACAATTTCAATATATGCTTTGAAAGTGAGGAAAATTCAAAGCATCAAGGAGCAGAGGGAATAAAGTCAACTCATGTTAATCTAAATGACAGAAATCTTGTCTTTCACTGCAAATAAAATGAATTATCCAGACGGAAACACCAAGGAGGTTATGCAAAAAATTCTCTCATTCAACCAAATAGTATTAATCCAAACTTCTCCCTAATTTGGTGAAATTACCTTAATAATCTCAAGGAAAAATATATGAAACCGGAATGCCATTGTGAGAAAAGAGGAATCCCTTAATTTCCTTGTATTCCTAGAAGGGAGCACACTTCTGGCCACCTACCAGCATCTAATACTCTAAAAGTCAGAACTGGTAAAAAAATCTTGGTATTATTTTCTAATCTCTCTCTTCTAGGAATCATCATGAAAAGAAGAGGGAAGAAATCATCAAACAGGGAGAATTTAGGAATTAAGAGTACCACAAAGTTGTAAAGATTTATTTATTAGTCAAGGATAAGAAAACATGGTGCAAAGGAGCCTTCAACACAGCCAAAGACAAATTAGAGAAATGGAAAGGACAGGTTGAAGCCTGGAACTACTCACTAAATTTTGCAAAATGTGTTACCCACATTGGACATAGTATCCAACTTATACAATAGAGAAAGCAAATGATTAATATGTTATTATATGCAGAATTATACTTTATTGATTACAGTTGACATTTTGATAAATAAATAAAAAGTTGAAGGTGCAACCTACATAACTGGTTAAATTTTGCATTAGGATCCACTGGACCCAGAAGGTAATTCCAGGGTTAATCAACCAAGGTGGTCTCCCAACTAGTCAGGAATGACTGGGGGACTGGTTTCCATCCTCCATGTGTCACTTCCTTTTCATATCTCTCCAGGTCCACATAGGGCAGGGTATTCATAGGCCTAATGGCTATGTCCAGAGGCCATTGGAGCAGATGAATTCACACAGTTCAGGCAGGCATATGCAATGGTCCAAAAGCAGGTGGCTCATAAGAGTGGGTTGCATCTGGACCACAGACAATGTGGGCAACCCCTGTTCAAGGGCATTTCAGTGTCTCATTAGGGATCCCTTTAAGAGATTCACTTGATATTCCAGAATATACACATATTAATGCTCTATTTTTTTAGCATATTCCACTGCTCTACAATGCCAGGAGCTTATCTTCCTGGAAGAAAATTTTGCCCTGGGAAATACAGGGTGGGCCAAAAAAAAAAACAAAGCTATCATTTTTGAAGAGTCGTCAATCTCTTTGTAGGCTGTCAATTTTGATTAAAATTGGTAGACTTATAGGGTGACACAATTTAAGTTTGTATACCAAATTTAAGCCATCTGGCTTCAAAATTATAGGAGTTGTAATTATTTTCTGATGACCAACAACAAAATTTGCTGTAGAAAATATCTATATAACCCTGAGGCCAGGATGAAACAGAGGTCCGAATTCATTGACCTTCCATCCCTGCATGATGCTACAAAGAAAGATTGGGAAGCACTGTCTCAAAGGTTTATTGACCAAGCCATTGATCTGTGGTGTCCCAGACTACAGGCTTGCGTTCAACAAAATGGAGGGCATATTGAGCACCTTTTCAGTTGAAATGTACATCCCTAAACCAAATTGTGTGCTTTTGTGTTTAGCATTTGGGTATCTGTTTTTGTTCTGTTTGCTTGCTTGTTTGTTTCTGTTAGTTGTGAGAATTTTAAAGCTGAAAGAAAAAATGAACACTTACTTTTTTGGTGATGAAATGTAAATTAAATGCCAATCTCACCGTTTTTGGAATTTTTATTTGAAACTTGGCACACAAACACTAATTGAGTCACCCTATGTGTATGCCAAATGTAATCAAAATCAGTTGCATAGAATCAGATTGACAGCTTGCCAAATATGATAGCTCTGTTTTTTTTTTTGGCCCACTCTGTATATTTGTATGCTGCACTAAACAAAGGAAAAAACTATGAGTGTTTTGATGGCCAGATTAGGCTAATGGACAAATGGCAGTTTATCATTAGATACTATGAGGCTATTCAGCTAGTGCCTAAGTCATTGCTAATTACCATTAACCACAGTCACTCCCACATAGAGTAATATTTCCAGGTAATATGTATTCACAAGCTAGTATTTGCTTCATTGGTAATTAGTCTAAATAGGAAATAACAAACAATAAAGCTTGCTATTATCTTTTAATGTTGAAGACTGTCAGCATTAAACAGATAGCTACAGAATTTGTTAATGCAGAGCCCCTGCTAATGCTCATTTGTGAATGTGGCAACCATTAACTTTCTCTTTCTTACTTATGAATTAGTGCTAATGTTAGTTGATGAATACTACTCTTGGTCTTGAAAGAAACTAAGAGTGGAGTTCAGCAAACTATGGCCTGCAAAGAGGGAGATAAGACTAGCATCAGGCCATATTTACATAAACACAAATTTCTCCAGTTCTCATTCTTTCCTCTTTTTTCCTCATCAGAAGGGGGGAAGCAGTGCCACCAGCATATTGTAAAACTACCAGCAGCAGATGTTGATTTCATGCTAAAAAACTGTATCAATAGTGGCAAAATCATTGGGACAGACCAAGAATAAATACTTAGCAACCTTCTCAACTCTTTGGCATCCATGTCCAAGGTATCTCATGCTGACCTGTCTTCTGCTCACCCACACTCGAGTTACCCCATTAAAAATATTTCAATTCAAATATTCAAAATATTCAATTCCATTCAAAATATTCAAATTAGCAACACTAAGTAGGATAGCTGCAGTTATAAATCATAAGAAGAGGGACTGAAAAAAACTCAGATTGAAAGTGCCAACATGGATAAAATACTCAGACACCAAGGGGTTAATGCAACTAGTTGAAAGAATGTCAGTGATAATAGAAAAATGCAATACATGAAGATGTACTGTATTATAATGAGTAGAATTTCCCTTTCCAAATAAAATTAGACAAATGAGAGATCAATTGGACAAGTTTTCAATACTTTGGACATTTGTTAACCCAGACAATATAATCTGCCCCCTAGCAAAATTAATAGAGAAAGTTGAATTCCAATGCAAAAAAATATCCCTATTAAGCTCACAGTTGGTGTGAAAAAAATATGCATATTAAAATGTTTCATTTTCAACCCTGCCTTATTGATGCAGAAGGAAGAGATGGAGTCTTGGTCCTTGTGAATGATCTTCACAGGTCCAGGGACAGAAGTAGCTGGTCCATCAATATCTCCATTTCCAGGACTAGGACCAGATCTGGACCCCAGTCCACCCTCACTTCCTCCGTCTTCGATCAACACTGTGGAGTCACTCACTGACAGAATGTGACGTCGGTGTCCAAAGATGTACCGAACAAAGATGTCCTGTACAGTTTCCTGGTGGACCAGGTACTGCCATAGACGTTTGATAGGCCGCACTGCTGTCACATTTTTCGATCTACAAGAGGAGAAATCTTGCCAATGATGCAATGAGACCAAAGATTTTAATTTGGAGATATCTTACATGAAAGGGGTATTGGTGGGATAAAGGATGCAGCGATATTTTGATATAGTAGGACCCCCAGCTGAACTCTCCACAAAACAACCAGGAATGTAATCTTCAGGTGGAGAAGGACGGGAGTCCAAGATGTGCTTCTGTATATTCTGCCAATGCTCCAGGGTCTTCACAGCAAGGTGCAGTGAAGGACTTACCACAGGCAGATCTAAGACAACCACATAGCACAATGCTACATAAGAATCACCAACAGAGCAAAGATATCATAGGACATCATCATCATGGATGGAAATGTCTCTTGATGTCCATAAGTGAACCTTAAACTCTATTGTCAGAAGATGAACAGAATGGTAAAAATACAGGGTGTCCCATAAATAGGTGCCCATTTTCATTTCTTGAATACAACAAGCACACACAACTTTCCAGTTGAAACTTATATGGGACAGTTAGAGTAATCTTTGAAGCTTTGTTTAGTACTAAATATGTCCAGCTTCTCTTTCAATTCACATTTTTTTCATCAAGAACAGAATTCATGCCATGCACACACAGTCCTTGGATGAGCTACATCACTAATGTTGTTCAGGCCATATCTCATGTCATCTGGGCAAAAGTTATGGATAATTTTGTTCATAATCTCCAGACTTGTATTGAAAGAGAAGGCAGACATGCTTAGTACTAAACAAAACATCAAAGATTTCTCAAACTGTTCCATATAAGTTTCAACTGAAAAGTTGTGTATGCTTGTTGTATTCAAGAAATAAAAATGGGTATCTATTTATGGGACATCCTGTACATACGACTGATGACTGACCTTCAGCAATAATTCCTATCGTTCCAAAGATCATAAGTGAAAGAAAGCAGGGTGCCAGGCATGTATGGGGTTATTGGAAAGTATCTCCTTACCCTAAAATTGTATTAACTTTTGTACTTTTTGGACTGGAACAATGGTTTTTGTGTCAAAACAAACAAATCAATTAAATAATAAAACCCCATCAAATTCCCTCATTGTTCATATGCTTCCAGTGACCCTCCATGGTGCCAAAATTTCATCTTTGACACCATGTGCACATAGCTTCGCAGCATGAGGCGAGGAGGTCCTCTGTTATGGTCCAGAAGTGGTGGTGGAAGGAGAATGCCTTGGATGCAATTTCCTCCCTCCTATGCCTCCACACCTCATACCGTGCAACTGGCACATGGTGTCAAAGATTCCATTTTGATGCCATGGATGGTTACTGCAAATGAAGAAATCAATTAAATCATAAAACCTCATTGAATTCTTTTCTTTGGCACAATAACCATTGTTCAGTCCAAAAGTACAAAAGTTACTACAATTTTAAAATAGCCAGTTACTTTCCGACCACTCTGTACAGCAGGGCTTCCCAACCCAGGAGTCATGACCCCATTTGGGGTCATGAACCAGCAACTAAAGGCCAAGTTATGTTTTTCTTTGCAATTTTAGCACATAGATGGGTACAACATAACCTGTTGAACTTCAGCCAGTGCTAGGGGTCCTGAATGGTATGATCATACTTTTGGGGTCGCATGTAACAAAGGTTGGGAAGCCCTGCTGTACAGTGTTTCATGTTGATTTTCATACCAGGTGCAAATTGCTGCACACTAGGGGCAAAATACCTCTTTAAGTCTTTCAAAATAATCCATATGCATTGCATAATGTTTTGCACTCATTCCTGCCATCTCATTGCTGAGAGAGTAAGAAAGATTATGCAATACACACTAATCATTTTGAAAGGGGTGCAAAGCATTTTGCTGCTAGTGCTAACATTCTGCCAAGTGTACAATCTCAGAGAAAAACTCCAAGATATGCAGGAAGCTTTCTACCTTGCATTTCAATGCCAGCAATCTTGAAAAAATTCTCCAGGAAGCCCATAGCAACACGAATGATGGCATATCGGAGGATCCCCCAAGAGTATGAGCTGGGATCTGAGTGCTCCAGGTTTGTTGCATCTCGAGATGATTTGCGAGGCTTTTCATCAAAAATATCTTCATCCAGGTCCTCCGGTTCAGAAGCATCATCAGGATCAGATGCAATGGACGTAGCTGAGTCATAGTCAATCTCACTAAAGTCCATTGGCAGTGTTGGCTATCATGGAAAGAAAGTCAAGTAATTCCCATGGGGAACTAAAAAAAAAAAGAAGCAGATCAGTGTAGACACCTTAGTCATGAAGACAGCAAGCATGGAGCGCTCAGGAGGAAGAAACATTTCCCTGTATGTTGGTCGATCTTCCTTTATGTGCAATTTCATTGGAGGTGCAGTGCTCCCTGAACTGCCACTGAAGCTCAAAAGCCTCATGTTCAGCTTTAACCGTTGTTTGGTTGTATTGAAGATGCTGGATTCCCCTCCACTAGAACTCAATTCGGGTCCACCTCCACTGCCCTATAATATGGGTATTGAATACCATCTAAGCCAATGACCAATGGTGCCAATGGTGCAACACCAGTGGCTGATAGCAGTGGTTGCTGATATATCAGTACAGCCGTAGTTTAGACACATCATGACCAAATACCAAAGAGGTTTGCAAGGGGAAACTCATCCAGGAATTTAATATCATTGAGGGGAATGATAGTGTCAAGTGTGGAAGACTTTTTTTTGCAACTCTATAACAGAAGGATGAGGAACTGGTTCAGAATGTATGAGCCTCAAGTGAGATTCAAGTCTCAGAATATATTTTTTACTTTTTGGGAAGTGAATACCCAATGCATCAAGTAGAGATGTAGGCATGAATGCTGAAACCTCATTTATGTGGGATAAAGGGGTCATCAAGCTAAACAGCCCTTTTTCCCCCATAGGAGCCCATGGATTTTTAAAGGACCATAACTAATGTGTGGTGATAAGGAGGTTGGCTCAGCACAGATTGCTCAATCCAAGCCATACTCCTTGCCACTTCCATGATTAGATTCAAGAACACATAGGATGCCAATGGGAGCAAAAAAAGAGTAGGAGGCAATATAGCTGCAGGTAACTCATCAGTAGAGGGATGTATTAACACCAAAAACATGTAGTGACCTAAAAAAAATTGATCCAAGGAAAAACTGATATTACAGAAAAGCCACTGCAAACTAAACATAGTTTTTCCTGATAGCTACACAAATATTTTACTGCTTCAAAATTTCATTCAGATGTGATGAGAAATATGTGAGAAAATGTTTAAGTACAGGGTATTTATCTTTAGAGGCCAAAATATAAAACTCAGGATGTCAAAGAATGAAAAGAAATGCCTCTTGATATCCCACCCAAAATTGAACCGCAGAGTATGCCAAGAAGTAAGAATAGGTATGTCCTTTGAATTCACATCCTTTCAGGTGACATTCCCAATGTTATGCATGATTCACACTGCTCAAAATGCATAGCACAACTTTTTGGTGAATGCATGCAAAAAAATTGCATAATTAATGAAATCCACAAAAATGTTGCCTATTATAAGCGTTCTTCTTGCTTTTTTCATGCAAAAAGCAAATGGAGTTTCAAACAAGATTTTGACAAATAAACAAACGATACTCCCATTCAACTCTAGTGAGGCCAGTCATTCAAGGTTTGTTAGGTTTAACACATTTACTGGTTTTTCTCCTTAGCAGGCCTTTAAATGGAGCTAAAGAGCATACATGAATGCATTTAAATTCAAATGGGTTAATGCCACTAAGCATGATCTAATTTTCATAGATAATTTGGTTGTGCAGTGGAATCTGATGGTCCTCCTTCTGAATTGGATATTCTTGTGCATCTTCTGTCTTTTCCCATCCTCTTGCCATCCAGCTCAACATTGCATGCTTGGAGTCATTAGACTCCGAGCATGCAATGAGCACAATGGCTGCTCATATCATGAAATAGGCAAAAATGTTATGCAATGCATGCGATGAGTGGTTGCAAGAATCACATATATAACCTATGAAATGTTCTAAAAGGTACTTCAGTCGATAATGCAGAGAAGACATACGGGTATAGAAATGGCCTTAGAGGGAGTTGATGAGGCCACCTTGACCAACTTCTTCACACCACCACCAAATATTGTTGCCCATGTGGAGTCATTGAAGTCCTGTGAGACAAGTCTGTAGAGGATGTGGCAATCGCAGGTTGCAAAGCCAAATGCAAGGAGGCTCAAGTAAATGGCAACAAAAGATTCACAGAGGAGGATGTTGAGGCGAGGAGAATCTTCATCACTCTCTCGAGCAAGCAAGGCACGCAGGGACATAACACCTACCCAAACACAAGAAAGTTCCAATCATCTTGAACAATAAACTTGTCTAGTTAGAGCAGAAGGAAAGATTTCTGAAAATGGAGATAAGCCCTGCAAGTTCCCCATGAATGCTCCTTTCAAGTGCAAAAGAGTCCCATATGATCAGACACACTGATGGTATATTTCAAGAAACTCTAAATGCTGAAGGACCTCATTCATTCATGCAGTACAGCCCTAACTACTTGGAACTCACAACTATGTAACTGCCACTACAGGGAATTCTGCTCTAAAATCATATCAATCACATCATTTGCAAAGCTTTCAAGCCATTAATTCTTTAACACTGGGCGAGCTCATAGATACATATTTATTTGAACTTGTTTTACAAGAAAGGAAAACAGTTTTTCATGAATATCTCTGAACCTGAGCATATGCACCTTCTGCCCTCAAGACAAACTGTGATGGTATGCAGAATACATACCAGGCCATTTGCTAGGGAGAGTGGTGACCTTGTCAGGTTCATCAATGCTCAGGCGTTTCCTTTTCAGGTACCCAGCTGTCAAGTGGGCATTCTGGTACACAACACTTCTCTGTACCAATGAGTCAAGGTCATAGCAACCTGACATCCTGTGGAAGAATGATAATGTCCTTCAAGCATAATCCTTGGCTGATGTTAAGAGATGATGGAATTCAATGCCAGTCTCTGTCAGCATGAATATTTTGGAAAAATTTACTTCAGTGATAATGACTAGAAGTAGACTACAAGTTAGCTTCACCTGGCAAATTACAAACATTTTCTGATTATGCAGTATCCCTCTGAATACTGAAAGGGCTGGAAATTGGAACTCTTGTCAGAATATGAGGAATACATTCCATTTTATGGGTTCAACCTCATGCATGAAGAGTTTTTCCAGGTGTGATGCACTCACCCATTATGCTGTCCATGCCGGCCAACAAATGAATCAGAATCACAAAGAGACTGGTAGATGCAGGCAGAGAGAGCAATACTCAAGTCTCGAAGGACAAACATTCGAGGAAAGTAGCAGCGTCCAGGGATTGGCAGGTTGACCAGGTCAATCACTGCCTGCAGGAGGTCTTGTACAGCTGACTGCATGGCATAAGCAGTAGTAAGTAATAGAAAAAATTTAAACATAAACTAAAGCTATTTCTTGAGCAAACAAGGCACCATCCTCTTGCCTGCACTGCATAAAAAATGAATGCTAGAGAAAGGAACCTCAAGTTTAGTTAAGGTAAATCTTTTCCATGAATATGTGGAATCATACCAAATCTGGCTCTTCATTTTCTGCACTTTGCTTCAAATTTTGAATACTTGCAAGCAGAGAAAAGGAGATATAAAATTTCACTCACTTGAAGGTGGCGTACGGGATCATTCACAACAGTCTTGTTGGTTGCAACAGATGCTGCAAGGAGAGGAAGTGTTGTAGGCAAAGGAAGTGGACTGAGAAGCTGCTGCTGACTCCGCTCTTGCTGGAGTTCTTGCAAAAGAAGTATGATCTCCATTCGCACTGAAGCAAGGCCTCCTCCACATGCTCCATGAAGGCTGCAGTAACTCAGCAAGGTTCTCAACAGGGGCTGATTTGCTGCCATAAAATACCACCACCATATAAACAATGACATACTTCCTCGACATAATACATGTTCATGTTGCTCACCTTTGAGCCACTCCTTTCGTCGAGCAGCTCGTTTTAGCTTGGCCTCAAAGTCAAGCTTGTCAGCCAAGAGGATTTCATGGAGTGTGGGCTGCATGTCTGAACCTGACAGACTCCGACGCAAGCTCAGATCTGCTACTTCACCTGATGATGTTATCTCTGTTTGCAGGAAGAGAAAATAAATATATTACAATAAAATTAAATACTTCTGTCAGCAAGAATGCTGCACTGATTTAATATCTTCCTAAAAAAAAACTCATTCTAAGGAAGAGTCTGAAATTGGATGGTCCACAAAAACAGAGCATATAGTATGCATGTTAGTCACTATTATATTCAGGCAGAAAAATGCTCAATTGAATTTCGATTTTCAATTGAGCACTTGTTTCAAATTTTATGCAAAATATATTAATGAGAAACACACTAACCATAACTGAGTTTGTACTATGAAAGCTTGCTAAGACTACCTAGCAACTGGGATATTAACTTCTTATTCAAAGCAGGTGTTTGATCTAAATGGGAAAAAGCATACCATCTTGGATCTCAGTAGCATGTGGAGTGTCCACACCATAGTGACATAACTGCTTGAGGGCATGGACTTCCCTTTCCAGCCAGACATAGAGTTGGAAGCGGAGCTGACCACCATCCACTTCACAGCCAGTAGCTAGAGTGCTCAGCTCTTCCATGAGAATTTGAAGGCATGCAATGAACTTCAACTGCTGGGCCATGATGTCCAGCTGACCCCTCCCTGCAGTTAATCCATTTATTCAATCACCAGGCAAAACCAAAAAAAATTCCTTGATCAGTCAGATAATGACATCACCTGTTTCCTTCTGGGGTTCCTTGGCCTCCTGTTCCTGTTTCTCACTGACCTCTGGTTTTGTTTCTTCCTTTTCTTCTTCATCTTCATCAGACTTCTCACCATCACTCCATTCCAACTTCAGCTCATCATGGAGCTGATCTATGACTGGCTGGGACCAGTCAAACTGATCAGCTCCTTGGTCTAAAGTAAATAAAATTCCATTTCCTTAGGACTAAGATTCATGAGAGGGAACTTCACTCAAATTGACCCAGGAAAGTTGCACTCTAATCAAAGGGACTCTCAAAAACTCATAATACCAGTCATCTTATATCACATATATTGATAGCTAAAAATAGTCAGTATGAATACATGGATGAGCAATGAAAAAAGAAACAGTCATAGTTCCAGCTTTGGAAGAGGTGGAAAGTATTGGATGACACTGTTTAAAAGTGAATTGTGAAGAAAACGTCCATATAAGTTTAAGCACAATAATCATAACTACTCTTCTTCTGGACTGAATCCTTTAGCTTGACTTTGTGCTTCCTGTCCCATGGCCATCATTGTGACCCTGCTGACTAAAAGTGCCCTTCCCCAATGGTGCTTCAAGCAGAAATGGCATCAGAAGTACTGCTGTCACTGTGACTGACTACTTTCATTAAGAGGTGACAGCAGAGGAGAAGGAATGGTAATTAATGGTGCTTGCAATACCCATGAATTACCCCTGGGATCTTCATGCAGCATGCTTAGGAAATGGTAGAAGAAAAGGGGAATCCCAAAGGAAGTCCCATAACATGTGCATGTTAACCCTTTCATGCCAGATGGTTCTTTTTGAAACCATCAACTTTCTGAATTTTTTAAATCCATCATATACATGCCTGCAAGCTATCATTAGCATTGACTCATCAGATCAGTTCCTGTCAGCAAGACAACAGCCTCATTTTATCAGTGTGAATCTAGTAAACATCTCATAAGAGCATATTATTATCCTCTGTGTGAATTTGAGGCAAGTTCCATTTTATAATAAAAAAAACAGGCATGAAAGTGCTAAGTATGAACAATGGAGAATGTCATACCTTTTGGAGCCTCAGTCATGGTCTCCTTCATCTCTGCTTCTGGGGACTCTGGAATGACCAAGATCACATACAGATCACAGTCTTGGAGAAATATGTATATTTTAACATAACAATTATGATATATAAGGATAATGCCGCTTCTAAGAGTACACAAGCTAGCACTGCCATTCTCTTCAATTATATGACCAAAAGATCAAGAGATCCTGGAATGACATCTTCAAGACTCTGGAATAACCAAGATTATACATTTGGCAAAATCACATCCCAAGAAATACTGCCAAAAAAATACTTGCAATGAAGACATGGGTATGATCCTGAATGTGCTTACCAGCTCTGGTGTTTCCTTCCATGATGAGGGGAGGCAGTTTGCAGAGAACCTCCAGGGCAAGAGCAGGACAACCAGAACGGAAGTGAGCATGAGCAGTTGTGAAGTAAAGGCGACGTTCAGCAGCTGTCACACTGTCTCCTCCTGGCAACTGGGAATGGATATAGACTTTGAAAAGTCATGAAAAACAAAGCCTTAAAATAAATTACAAATGCAAAATCAATTAAAGAAACACTTTATAAGTAAATCCTTCAACAGTACTCACATGAGAATTAGGCAACCCAGGGGCATGTCGAGAAGGAACAGATGTCACAACCAGGCCTCCCTTGGCAAAGGAGGCCAACTGTTGCCTCACAAGTAATGGATGTGTTCGAAGGTATATGTAAAAATTGAACACACTTGGATCTGCAAAAAATTTATCATCTGTCACTGAACCATAATAAAAAAGAGAAAAATTAATTCTTACCAGTCTTCTCAGAGCTATGTCTGGGTTTGTCACTCTGTTCCATTGAGAGGTGGTCCTGTCCCACATTGGTCAACAGAAGGGTATTGAGGCTCTCTCTGTATTCTCCAAGCATCCAATATGCCATTGACCTGAGAGGGTACATTTCCAAAGTCTCAAGGTCATTTTTGTGAGATGAGAAGTGATGAACAGCACAGAATGAGCCTTACCTGAGAAATGGATCAGGGTGAGCTCGATCCAGTTTCTGGTCCTTTCCTTCATTGTTACAACCCAGTATCTCCTATACAGGAGTGAATGAAAGATCAAATTCAACCAATGCAATAATGATATAGATCACTATTCCAAACTACATCAGGCCAGAATGATTTGGGGATTGAATCAAACACTACATCCTCACTGGTACACCTACATTGATCATTACTATACAGATAATCACAAAATGTTCTCCTGTTTCAGAATGTACATTAGATTCACCTCATAGAGAAGCTTCTTGAGACTAGGTGGAGTCCTGCCCAGATCATTCTCGTAGAGCCTACAGATGACCATAGCCAGCTGCAGGTCATTCAGCTTATTTAAACAGACCTATATCAGAGGAGAAAAACATATAAAAATGAGATGACAGGCAACATGGATCAAGCTTGAGCGATTTTTCAATGCAGGTTTCCATCTTAGCTTTTTGCAGATAATTAGGCCCAAGTGCACAAACCTCATTTAGGGGAGATAAAAGGGCCTCTTTGCTAACAGTTTGCAAAGGCATAAAAATTACTTATTCACCTACAGGTCCCTCATACAGCAGTTGTTTTCAGTGAAAATCTGTTTTTTTGAATGGATCTCTAAAGCGATCTGTAACTAGACTAAAAAAAAATGTGAAAACTATGAAATGCTTTTGATAAAAAAATTTTTTTTTTTGAGCATAATGCAACCCCCCCACTC